ATTGGCAAAGTTTCAGTCACAGCAAATTATGCGAAAAATCTAGAACGATTTAAGCTTTAATCTCGTTTAACGTTTAAAGCGACATATCAATGACTGCAACCATCGTGTTGTATACAAACCTCGCAAACTTTAAAACACGTTCTCTAGTGATACCTGAGAAAGTATTCAGTATAATTTCCGGTAAGATTTTCGCGGACAATCTGATCGATTTCCCTTACATTGTGTGCTGAGACTGAAACTTTTCACCTCGAGCAAATCTCCGTCGCACGGCCCAAACAAACATAACGAGCAACTGAGCATTTGTCTGTCCGTGTTACAACACACGAAAGGACTCCAAAGCACACTTTACTCTGATTCGGCAGAAAAACACAAAGATTTTCTGGCACCAATCAGATGGCAGAATGACTGCGACCGTATGGAACTAGTCTTGGCAGACAATGTCCCCAGGGGCTCTTCATGCCCTAACTTGAAATCGACCCACAGCCCCTGGGTCTCCGAGGATTATATCTCGTCTGAGTGTAGTTCGAATATGTTATTAAAAAATTATTCGCTCCAGGCTCTGTGAATCCCTGAAAGGAAGTAAGTGGGAGTACTTAACAATGTTCACTGAATAATTGTTTAGAGCAATTGCCCAGGTACTTCCGAATTCTTACGTAAATTCTGTAGATAAGAGACCATTGCGCCTATTTTGTAACTTTTGTGTTGATTTTAAAATTGCATCAGAATAAACCAGCGTTTTTAAACAGATTTGTTAAATTCAGTCAGCATAAACTTCGTTTATTTTCTTTTGAAAAGTGTTCTGCCAAACTCAATATCATTTTTTGTGCTGTTGCTATTTAATTTTCTTCCTTTTGGGTTTATCACTTCCTTAGAAACACTGACTAAACGAGAGGCAGCCATCATCTCGCACGAGGTGATTATAGCGAGATATGACGCAAACATCGACCAATCAGAGCGCGCGGATCTCTATAATCACCACTGTTGTTACGGCAATTATACTAATGTCTATAGTAAATAGTATGAAGTTGCAAATCGACTGTCTCTTCCCTGACTATTAATAATAAACATTTGACACGTTAACCATAATTACTCTTTTACCGCCCTTTGAAAGTGAAGCTTTTTCTTATTAAGAGAAATGTAGTAGTTATAATTGCAATGGATTCTTGCATCAGTGGCTGCTTAGTCAACCTACGAAATTCTTCCTTTTCTTGTAGTTCGTGTTTTGGACATTCACATTAAAAGCGAAGGTTGCAACGATCCAGGAATAGAAGACGGTTGCGGCAAAGCTTACATTAAGGTTGATGGAACAGTTTATTCTCTTTATGGAAGAGGATATAACGTTGTTACTGTGGACGGCGAAACAGGTGATTGATAGACTACAGAACTAGCGTGTGGAGGCGTGGTGGCCTCATGGTCAGTGCACTGGCCGGGGACATTGTGTTGTGTACTTGATTCGCATGTTCAAAGTAAAAAAAAAACCGAACACGTGTACGACGATTTGACTTGTTAACTTATTTTTAAAGGTGCCTTCCTTGAGGCAAGATCATTTTGATACTCATGGTGACGGTTCGAGCGGCTATCAGTTGAGAGACTACCTAAACAGTCTGAATGGCAAGTATGTGAAAACTAAACAGTAACTATTGTAGTGTGCACAACACTTGAAGCTCCTTGAGTAGACAACAAATGCTCTAGTCCTGAGAATGAAGCCTTCCTTCGCCGTCCTTTGCGATTAGCTTGCTCGAATAGCAGGAAATTTTTCTTGCATTTTCTTCTACACTCTGCTCTATTCTAGGCGCTGAAGGAAAGAAAGCTAAAAGGTTTATTTCTTCTCGAAGGCTTCAACCTCAATTTACTATTTATAATACACCGAATGCAAATATGGCGTCCAATTTGAATTGCCATTGTTTTGGACTCACTAAACTCGTCTTCACGTGGAAACACAAAGGGTTATTACATGTGTGAAATGCTAGTGAGTCCGGAACAATGGTCACTCAAATTGGACACCATATTTGCATTCGGTGTGTATCTTTGAGTTTTCTCCATCTTTCGCTTTCAATAAAGAAAAAGGACTTATGTTGTAATACGACACAGAGACGCACTCTTTTACTCCGCTGAGTGAATGTTATGATATACCCAGCCCGACTGCAGACATCTTGACAAAGTTAAAGTAATTATTTGTGTTGGATACAAAGGTTCTAGGAAGCCGGTGAGTGAGGCCTCAATTTTAGTGCCAAACCCCTCGCAAACCCCTACTCGACTCGTCTCCAATCTTCCCGCGTCCTACAAGGCTGCCAATAAGGGCCTGCTACAATACTATTTTTATGCTTTGGCAAGAAGGTTTCTTCGTCCGCGAAAAATATGAGATGCAAGCCGGCGAGAGTTCTGCAAGGAGTCTGGCACCTCTCCCTGACTGGTCTAAAATTTTAATTCTCGCGGGTGGAGGAACGCGTGCCCCACAGCGCTAAGGCCTTCTCGCATAGTGAGGGCCCGCTCGTGGATTAAACCGCTGTTTAACAGAACAACGTCCTAGACAATCCTCGATTTAGCTGGACCTTTTACCTGAACACTTACTCAACGTGATTAGTGTCAAGAGGGCCAGAATTTTACATTGGAAAGACATTTATTTAAATCAATTCTCCTACAGAGAGCCTGGGACCGCTGATTAGAGCTCGAGTCAATAACTGTCCCTAAGGGCTTTGGTTAGCTTCGTCCTCGTGTCTTAAACAATCTCTCTCCTTTGCATGTCCCTCTAACATGTTATCTTTACTCTCGCCACAGCAAAATCGTTTTGGTTGCCATTCAAGATGAAGGTTCTGCGTACATGTCACCTGCGATTGATGCTCTCAAGAGACTGGGCGCTACTGATCCTGTACAGCCGGATGAAAGGGGATCGTTTGCTCTCGCTGGATACGCAGGAGTAAACAAACCACAATGCATTACTCAAGAAAGAGCAGACAGTGGACTGGGGCCGAGTGAGATTTTCCCTCAAATAGCCCTGTCAGTCAATTATTAGATTTAAACCTTTCTAAGATGTACAAGTGAATCGTCACAATTTAACAACGAACGAGAACTGTAGCGTAATCCCCTCATAAAACAGTGCTCCAAGCTGCGATCGTTTTAGATGTTATGGCGCCAGGCACAGACCAAATCTGTAGAGATAATCGCCCTTTTGGCGACTTGTGTTTTTCGGTACTGGAGCATTTAACTTATTTTATTAGTCTAGTGTGGTAGTTATGATCTTAAGCTAGGTAGCCTTCAGTGCATGTGTCCTATGAGGGCGAGTTAACGTTACAAAGTCACAATCGTTAATTCAAGCGGCCATGTTTGATTTGGAGTTAGAATAGATAGTGGGGAGAGGTATACCTTAATCCTCTTACATGAATCACTGCTCTAAACTGCGATCGTTATAAAGACACAGACTAAAGATGAAGTGATAGTCGCTATTTTTGCGACCTGGCTTTGACGGTTGCTATGTAATTAAATTTGTATTTTTATATTGGGTAATGTTTAGCATTTGCTAAAATTGCTACAAATGCTGCAATGTTTTCCCCACATTTAACAACTATTCGACGATATTCACCGAACCTGAGGTGAATATATGTTTTAGTATAATTTTAGAGCTGAACAATAGAGAAATTTCTAAAATCATAACATTTTAGTAACATTTATTAACATTTTATTTTAACATTTTATATAAACCGCGTAAAAATAGCGTAATATAAGGAACCCCTCGACCGATCAGATTGCTGGAAACTCTTTGCTCAGCTCTGAAATTATAGTAAAAACATATGTTCCCGCTCTCTTGGACTATTTTAAAAGCCTTGAAATATCGCATGTACTCTGAAAATAATTATGACCACGTGAGCTTAATATGTCCAAAATCTTTTTTCAAGCGATGATTGTATTAATTTTTAAGTCGCTACGTGTTGACCCTGAAGACACTTGAACCTAGAACAATGAAACTGCCTCGGTTGCAGCGGTTGCAGATACGAAATAAAAAACTCTATGTTAAGACTATTTATTCTTCCAAGTAGCACTTTTGCAAAGTTTAAAAGCGTTTCTCGGAAAAAATCAACAAAATAGAAGGAAAGAAAGGCCAAACGGAAGAAGTTTAAAAACAAAACAAAATAAACTTGAAAAGCCTTAATTTGTGTAGGTAATGTAAATGTATTGCAAATAGTGTGTTTACAAAGTTCGGTATTAAAATATACCTTTTTTTTAATAAATTACTTTTCTCGCAAGAATCGCGGTTATGAAAACGACAAAGATAAATCTCTTAAAAAAAACAATAAAAACTAATAAAATTGGTCACAGCAGGTTAGTTTCGACTTAAAGAAATGTCAAAGAGTACAACATTATCCTTGACAAGGACACAGGAAAAAGCTATATTGCTCGTTATGATGCGATCGGAACAACTTTATTAATAATTTATATCATTTTAACAAACAAGCACCTCAATCCTTTGTTTGGCCCTATTTATAGGGCCTCTTGAGACAATCTCAAAAGCCTTTCGTTTTGGGAGATCTCCGGGGGACTCAATAATAACCATTGATATTTTAATTCTCTGTTCATCCTTGAGAACACGAACCCCGGTAAATCGAGCTATTTTTGATGGTCATTCAAAGTATGATGGTTCAGTTCAGGGAATTCTTTCAAGCATATCTCATACCCAATTGCAACAGTCTCGTTTTCCTTGCAATTCAGTGACATAGTTTTTCTTGCTATGTAAATCAATATAACTTCTCAGCGGTCGGTATCATAAATATATTTTCATTTAAGAGATTGATTAAAAAAACACACACACAAAAGCTACTGATTTCATACCTCTCTTAGCGCGCGGTAAGTTTTAAGTCTTAAGTTATTTTAAACGGTTCGATGGTAAATCCCAAGCATTATTTGTTATAGTAGATGCAACAAATTGAATGTGGGTTTAAGTCATTACCTCTTTATATATTAGCGACTTTCTTTGTATTTTTGAAGGATGGAGATAAGCAAATTATTTGTTACCTTTGTACTTTCATTACTACTGAATACTGAGGCTCCATTGGGCGCTGAAGACTTCAAACGAGATGACAAACGAGGAGCACGACACGGATATTTTGTGAGGAATCCTTCACAGCGACTAAATTCTCCTATTCTGGACAGTTTTATGGTCTCTGAGCCTATGGGGTGTGTTTTTCGATGTATTAGTAACCAAGAATGTTATTCAGTAAATTTCGCTGCTGTTTCACATGAAGGAAAGCATATGTGTGAGCTATTAAACGCAGACATGTTTCGAAACTCCACAAATTTTCTTCAAAGCATAAACTTTGACCACTACAACATAAAGGTAAGTGCGAGGATATCCCCTTTGATTTAGTTCTTCGCTGCATAAATGTTCTGAATATATGTTTTTACACGAGCGAAACCTTTCTAAATTTAAGGTAGCGCAAAAACATAACTTCATGTTCACTCATCAAAGTTGATGTGACTGTCCGTGAAGACTTCATTTTTGCTTTCTTTCTGGATAATAATGGCGGCCGAGGGTGGAAAATATGAAAATTTAATGAGAGAGAAAAAAAAAACATAGAACGGGAAATATTGTTGGTAAGTGCCCTCAGCCAGTGGTTATCTGCATGTGGATATTTTTTGACGATAAAGTCACGAGTTATTTAAATGATAACTTCAAAAGGGTAAATACACCCCTTCAGGCGGGTGATATTCGGCTGTGTTGGGCGAAAAGCGAAGTTTCGAGGAAAAATGTGAAATTTTTGTTGAAATATATATGTTGGCATTATCAGCCAACATATATATCTCTTAGGCATCGGCTGAGCAAGCCAGAAAGGGGATTTATTCACTTATTAACCGTCCCCATTAATTTTCGTATCGCGTGTTCTGCCCGGAGCAGCATTTAAAATCAATTTCAGTGTCACTGGACTCTACCTTACGGGCATATTTTTCTTCTATGTATAGTAATAGAGCTGAAAACTCTTTGTTTCTTCTCGACGAAAAGAACTGGAGGAGAAACATCGACGTAACCCAGGATTGTTGCGTAATAACTGTCCAGTGATTTCGCACCACGTGATGTAAAGTAGCTGCTAGCATCGCGCAAGAATGAATGGGTGGGTTATGATTTATAATAGAGAGCTTAAGCACCAGACGTTCTTGAGGTCACGAACGCCTACCGGAAGTCATTAGAGGAACTATGTACATACTGCGCATGTCATGACGTTCGCGTGGTCACGTCGCAGACGTCAGAACGCCACTTTTCAGGTTGAAGGTAGGACGCCACAAAAGTATGCTGTTATTTTGTTTATAGGAGAAAATTATTGACTCAAAACCATAAATAGCTCTTCTGCTTTTCATTAAGTGATTAAAAAACGTTTTCATGCGCATAAAGTGGTTTTTGCTTAATCGATAGATTAAACGGGATTCGACAATGGCAAACAATTTTCTCGCCAAGTCTGGGTGAGTTAAGTCATTTGATTTCATGTCCATTTCAATCATCAAATGCAGAACTAAGATTTTTTTTAAACCGGGTTTAAGCTTATCACAAATTACTTTGAGCGATAATTTAGAATTAAGACACTTAAGCGACATTTAGATACAATAACAAAGTGCAAAATGAGATAGATGATTGTCTTTCTGCATCGGTTGTATTTTGTAACTGCACATTGTATATCGTATGCATCTATGCTAGGTTTTGAGCAACCGACTACAAACATAAGAATAACAAATCTCGCTGTGGTTAACGAATTTAGAAAAAGAGAAATGGTCCTCTAGGCATCCAGATCATGCACTGAAAACTTCATGCTCGCTCGTTTGTTCGCATTGTTTACACAACTATGAAGTGGTAAATTTCAAGTCGCCTAATAAATTGACGAATTATTCATTCTGTCAAGAGAGTGGGGTAAAGAAACTTATTCCCTTGCTCATTAAGGTCATATCTCTAGCATCTTTTAGCAAAGACATGTTAACACGGGTAGAAGTCCGTGTCTGAAAAACGTCGACTGCTTAACCTTCCTATTTCGCGCCAAGAACGAAGGCCTCGATCCAGTCTTACGCGGCTTCTCTGCCGTTCGTGTTGTCAAGAACGTCTGGTGCTTAAGCTCTCTAATACCCCCTATCGACCGCAGCACCATAGTTTATCTAGAAACGTACCACCTTTATTCATAAGCCTGTCTGAATTTGGGCAGATTACGTCCTCTCCTTTGCTCTTACTGGTGTTTTGTTATTTTAAGAAATATCCTTTTTTGCCTTGTGGAATAGAGTCCTTGCATGAGCAATCCTTGTCAAGATGGAGTTTTATTCTGTCGACCGATTTATCAGCAAGACGATTATCAGTGGGTCTGCAGACCAGGTTTTACTGGAAACTTTTGTGAAACGGGTGAGTTAGTGCAATGGGTTGTATTTCCATGTATCATTTGTACGAGTGAATGCGTAGCATTTATGAGTATAGAAGGTGTTGGGGGATCGTGGGGAAAAAAAAAGCGCTTGGTCGATTCCTGTGAATTATTTCCTTTGATGAGCCGCTGACCACTAGAAAAGCAAACTGGGGACTATCGCGGGCTCAAATCAGTGTACATCGCGCGAGTGCCGAAGTCGTGGCGAAGTCGTGTCTGAACTGAAAGTGAGTCGACTTCCTTGAGAAATGGCTTTTTTTTGGCTATAGCTTTTATTCTTGGCTCTTCTTGGACGTATCGACGCTCGACCGGTTTGAATTCGTAATGTATTCTGTTGACGTAAGTGAACCACCCGGCCCACCGAATATAGCAAAGTGCATTCCACTCAAGGTCAAGGCGGAGGTTTCCGAAATGTACGCCAAGATTTTTAAAGGATTATATGGACAAAGGAAAAGACCCACACCGAAGATCTTCGGCGTAAATGGTTCAGAATGTAGCCTAGCGAATACACTGGCATCGTTTGTTTTGAAGTAAGAGTCTTTCATGGCTCGTTCTTTGTAACCTACAGAGCACATCAGGTAAGTGTTCATAATGTATCTATTTAATCTCGTTGTTCGGGTTTGCTGCTTTGCATGGGGCTAAGCTCACCGCAGCTTGCAATTGATTATAAACATGAGTATACAAAATAAGGCTTCAAAAACGGTGGGAGCTTTATATCGATTGTTCGGTTGTCTTCGGAAAGTACTCGTAAGGTCACTTGATACAAAATGTTATTCGAAGAAAGAGGATATACACGGTTGATTAACCAGTATACTACAGACTACCATACTCTGAAAGATGACATTTATGCAAATATACCACATCTTGTAAAATCTGCAGGTACACTTGAGTCATACTACAGTGATCATAAGCCAATTTAGATGTCCTTCACAGCTTTGTGAAGAATGTTACTATTGGTAACTTTGATAAAGTACTTAGTCTAAGAAAAACTTACAAGTCCATACATCGACTTTTATAGCCAGCAAGATTCTAAAATTTTACAATTTCCAGAAGCACACTGAAGACCATAATTATTATTTTGTGATATCTCTCTATGTTCGGGCCTGGACCCGCAGTGGGAGGATATCACGCTCCCCCTCCAGTGAGACTGGACTTGTGATGGGACCACCCTACTAAAGAAATTTTTGTTGCGTTAGTATTATGGGATATAGGAACATGTGCTTTTCGCTTGAAGTTAGCAGTCTTTTCGTTGGATTAAAAGGGGTAATTTAAACCGTTGTCGAAAGTTGAAGTTATTTAGTAGTCTGAACAAAACATTATGATCCTTCGGAGCCGGATCTGAGAAACCTTTAGGGAAGCAAGGCACTAAGCAGAAAAGTAAACATCTAGATAAACGATTACAGGATTGAATATGACAGACAACTGTGCATCGTCAGCGGAGGAAATTGTGAGTGAAATGTCTCTTTCCCAAGTCAAAGCTGAGTTACAAAGGAGAGGATTACCGGCAAAAGGAAAGAAATCAGCTCTCATGACTCGACTTATCGTTGCTATAAAACAAGAAGAATCTAATCCTCTATCTTTGCAAAACAAAACTAAGGAATCGATTCATATAGGCTCTAAACAGACCTTGTCAGCTGACAACGTGCCTGCAGCATCAACTGATGAACTTTTGTCGTCACAGTCTCCAAATCATCAGTTAAGTAGTTTTCAGTTGTTAAGAAGGAAAGGAATGATCCTTAAGATGGACATTAATGCTGTGATACAAGTAATATTTGAGACAAGCAAAAGTCCCAGCAACAACGTCARAAGAATGGAAAATCGTGTTCAAAAGTTGAATGGCTAAATGGATAGTTGCAGTGAAGTAAGAGAGGAGATTACTGCTCTTATTTCTGATGATGAAGTGGCTGAAGAAGCTCAAAAGTGGATTGACTATCAACGAGTGATTGATAATGCTTTAGACATAGCTCAAGAGTATACATCTAAACAAGCAATTTCCAAGGTAGAGGAACAAACTGCTTTGAGTTTTGCGGAGCACAAACAGTCACATTTAAAATTACCAATACTTGAGTTACCCTAGTTTGATGGAGATGTTTTAAAATTTTAAAATTTTTGGGACCAATTCGAAGTTTCTATTCATGATAATGACTATGTACCTGCTGTTCAAAAGCTCACCTACCTGCGTTCAGTACTTGAAGGGATTGCTTATCATACAATCGAAGGATTTGAAGTCACTAGTGCTAATTATCAGCATGCTGTTGATGCTCTGAAACTTCGCTTTGGTAGGAAAAGAATAATTATTTCATCTCTGGTCAAGTCAATTGTCCAGCTACCAAGGTCAAACGAAGAAGCAGAGTATTTGCTAGATCGCCATGACACTCTAAAGAATCGGATTAGAGCACTGGAGGCCCTAGGCGAAAAGCCAACGACCCATTCTTGTARCCCCCTTCCAATATTGGAAACCAAACTTCTACCTGAGTTATCAGAGAAATGGGAATTAGAACTAACTGACACTAAGGAAGAAAGTGTTGATCTTGAACTTTTCTTCAAGTTCCTAAATAAACAAGTGATTTCCAAGGAGGCCGGAAAAAGGAATGCTAGTATGAATGGCGAGAATGGTGGGACAGCCAGAGGAAGTGGGGGACGAGACGAGGATGGAACTGAGGTAAGGAACACCCGGGAGAAAGTGTTTTCAGCAGCTGTTCTACTAGCAAGTGAGAGAAATTGGAGAAGTTATGCAGCTTGCCATGTGTGTAAAGAGCAGTAACATGAAACCCTTAAATGTCCAGAACTTAAGCGAAAGTCAGTTGACAAACGTTGGCAGTTAGTAAGGAAGAACCGGCTGTGTTTCAACTGTTTAAAGCCTGCAAATACTTTCCACTGTTCTTCAGTCTGCCGCCAAGCGAAGTGCAAAGTTGAAGGATGTGGCCGGCGTCATCACACTGTACTTCATGGAGACTGGGACCCTACCCCGAAGGAAAAGGGACCTACGACATTAAGTGGATTGGTGACTTCGTACAACTCCAAGATGCAACAAACCTTATTACAGACTGGGACAGCCATGCTGCTTTCAGACGGTTTCCAGAGAGCACCCGTAAGGGTTTTGTTTGACTCAGGAAACCAGAGGTCTTATATCACCAAGAAGGTTGCCGAGTCGTTTGCCCTTGATAGACCTTCTGAGGTCGTTAGTGTATCCATGTTAGGGGGAGAAACCAGTCAAACCAAGAGAATGAAGAAAGTCAGGTTCTCACTCGCCTCTGTTCAAGAAAACATTTCAACGCCAGTTAGCATGGAGGCCCTCACCATTGACAAGATATGCACACCACTAGAACCAGTGGAGATCAGGTTAGAAGATTACCCCCACCTGCAGAACTTGATACTTGCCGACTCGTACCCTCGTGACCAGTTAACGTCGATATTTTGATAGGAGCAGACTTTTACTTTTCATTTATGAGTGGTATATGCAAGAAAGGGAAACCACTCATGCTCCCACAGCAGTAGAGTCAACACTTGGATGGATTGTAGGAGGACCCATCAAGGGTCTTCCTTCCAAGAACACTCAATCCATGCTGTCTACCGTGTGCATTGATCCAGTTACGGACATTCTTACGCAGTTTTGGGAGCTGGAATCTATTGGAATTGTAGTTAAAAGGAATGCACCTATATCCTTAGAGGAAAAAGAGTCTGTTAGAAAGTTCAACGAGGGACTGAAGTTTGATGGTGAGCGTTATGAAGTACCGCTGTTATGGAAAAGCGATACTCTGCCATTGAATTCAAACTACCTCCATGCAGCCAAGAGACTTGAGAGTGTCGAAAGACAGCTTAGAAGAAACCCAGAGAGAGCCAATGCTTACGAGGATGCCATCAACAAATACGTAGATAAGGGATTTGCTGTAGAAGTAAAGGAAACAATTGATGATAACGAGAAGGTCAGGTATTTACCTCATCACGCAGTCTTTCGAGAGGACAAGGAAACTACAAAATGCCGTGTTGTTTTTGACGCTTCAGCGTATGACGAGCCTGAGGTATCTCTCAATGACTGTAATCCGTCAGAGCCAGCACTTCAACCTAACCTGTAACTTCGAGCACGTAGGATTGCACCTTTGGCTGATGTTGAAAAGATGTTCCTCCAGATCAAGGTTGATGAACGAGACTAGGACACCCTACGATATCTTTGGAGGGATCTACAGAGTGAGAACCACCGAGAATGTACAAGCTGCAAAGGTTGGCATTTGGTGTTAATTGTACTCCATTCCTGGCCATTGCCACAGTTCAAAGCCCTGCGAAGAAATGCAGTGAAGAGTTCCCTGATGCGTCAAGTGAAGTACTGTCGAAAATGTACGTGGATGACTGCCTTAGTGGTGCTGATGATGTTGAAGATACAGTGAAGTTGCAGCAGTCCTTTGGTGCGATGATGGAACGAGGTGGATTTAATCTGACAAAGTGGGCCAGTAATTCAAAGAAGGTCCTTAGCCACATTGCAGAGCAAGATCAGGCAGAGTCCAGTACTGTTGATTTCAATGCAAAGGAGCCGCTCAAGGCACTGGGAATATATTAGAATACACTAACTGACTGCTTCCTCTTTAACGTGCCACCAAATACGCTGGCTGTTCGTGACCCTGAAACGAAGAGAAGTCTGTTGAGCATTGCGTCGAGGGTTTTTGACCCTATGCGACTAATCACACCATTTACAATCAGAGCGAAAATGTTGTTCCAAGAAGTATGGCAAAAGGATTTACAGTGGGAGGACCAGTTGGATGAGGATATTGCTAAGCAGTGGAGGTCGTGGAAATCAGAACTTTCACAGTTAAGTTGTATCACCATTCCCCGCTATTTCATGGAAAACATTGGATCAAGTTGTAGAATAGAGCTCCATGGCTTCGGTGATGCTTTACCCAAGGCATACGGTGCGGCAGTATATATCAAGTGCTTGGATGAAACCGGCCATGCTTCAACACATCTTGTCAAGTCCAAATCAAGGGTGGCT